ATCCTGTTGAAGAAATTAAGAGTCTTGCTGAGCACTGTAGGAAGACTTAAGGAGGCTGGTTTTGCCCCAAGAAGATGGGTTCCCAGGGCTCCTTTTCCTTAGTTGGTGGGGAGGAGCTCCCTGAGGATGACTGAGTGGCTACATTAAATCCTTGTTTAAATTTCTTTGCTGGGGGGGTGAATGGGCAGCTGTGCGACTTGCCTGCCGTGGCTGTCCAGCCGCTGCGAACACCCACGCATATGGTGCAGTCCAAAAAGTAATTTAGAGATTTGGGGGGATTACAATAATGAACGCTTGCCCAAGGATTAGATGGATATTTCTATAGTGTAAGCCTAGCTTAAATATCAATTTAATTCAAATAGATTTCTGGGAAGGCTGAGACCTGGAGTATGCTGAAAAGCATTTCGTTGCTTCGGTACAGTTCTTTTACTACTGCGAAATTGTACTAGAGGGTTTTAATTGCTTCACCCCAGTTAGGGCTGGGGAAGGAGGGTAGGCACAGCTGTAGTTAGCTGGTTATCCGCTATTCCTTGCACAGATAAATTACTGGATTCAATTACACACTCAGAGCATCTCGTGAAGTAAGGGTTGCTCTGACACGATATTTAGAAAGCTTCTGGCCGTTTTAAAAGTTCACTGCTAATCATTTGCCTGCAAATGTAGCCTTCTGCATCTGTTCCTGTAGCGATTTGTTTTTACAGATGAGCAGTCTGGTCTTCTGTCACCCCTCCTTCCCCTGCCCCAGGTTGCATTTACGTAGGATAATGCAGTCCAGCCAGGTTTCTTGGAAGTCGGCTCCTTGCAAACCTGAGAAATCATTTCTGATGGTAGATGTGTCATTTGTGGTCAGTCAAAGATGCTGGGCTACGTTGTGTTCCGTATTTTGCCTTTCCAAGGAGATGACATGGGGCTGTTCTGCAGCTTTTCTATCCTGTGCATACGCAGCAAGACCCTTCTTCCTTCTGGCCCCTGTGCAACAAAAAGAAACTCAGCCTTGAGGTCTGAGAGTCCTTTGTAAAATCAGCAAAGATTTCCCCAATTTGGGGAGTAATGAATTCTCAGCACTCTTGAAGCCATGGTTAGTGGTTTATTGTCTTAAAAGGCACAGAAGCCAGCGTAGCTAGAACTTGCATATTCCAGAGTTGCAGCGCATCAGGGTAGTTCACTTAGAATCAGAGATTGGAAAAGACCTCTAAGATCATCAAGTCCAGCCGTCACCCCAACCCCACCATGCCTGCTAAACCATGTCCTCAAGTGCCACATCCACACGTTTTTTGAACCCCTCCGGGGATGGGGACTCCACCACTGCCCTGGGCAGCCTGGTCCAGTCCCTGACCACTCTTTCAGTACAGAAATTTTTCCAAATATCCAGTCTAAACCTCCCCTGATGCAACTTGAGGCCATTGCCTCTCGTCCTATCGCTCGTTACCTGGGAGAAGAGACCAACACCCCCCTCACTACACCCTCCTTTCAAGTAGCTGTAGAAAGTGATAAGGTCTCCCCTCAGCCTCCTCTTCTCCAGACTGAGCA